TCACAAACTGTAGCCACTGGCTAGGGCAGAGGTAATCAAGATGGTGCCCATGGGCCTAGCCAGGAGGGCAGCTCCCCCTCCCCAATCAAGTAAATAAATAAAAATACCTAAACCAATTGCATCACAGATAACTTGGTTCTGCCTCCCCGTAACATAAAGCCTGCCCCCATAAAATAAATCCTGACTGTGCTCATGTTGGTGCCCTTCCAATACTTCCATCACTGGCCACATTGACTGGGTCTGTTGGGTGCTGGAATACCTTGGCTGCCCTTGGGCTAGAGCAGCCTTTCTCAACCTTGGGTCCCCAGATGCTGTTGAACTACAACTCCCATCATCCCTTGCTAGCAAGACCAGAGCTTAGGTATGATGGGTGTTGTAGTCCAATAACATCTGGGGACCCAAGGTTGAGAAACACTGGGCTAGAGGGACAGCTCAAGTCAAGTGATGATTATTTCTGGGTATGTTTCAGCTCTGTCACCTCACAGTTGAGCTCGCTCTGAATGGAAAGCAGCAGGAGACAGTAGCAGAAGACCAGAATCGTTCCAAGTCAACTATCCTCTCACTATTAACGCTCCATTCTCCATCTCACTAGCTCTTATGTTTGCAGCCTTGGGGAAATATTTCTTCACAGAGCAGCCTAGAGCAGGGGTCAGCAAACCTTTTCAGCAGGGGGCCGGTCTACTGTTCCTCAGACCTTGTGGGGGGTCAGACTATATTTATGGGGGGAAATGAACCAATTCCTATGCCCCACAAATAACCCAGAGATGCATTTTAAATCAAAGGACACATTCTACTTATGTAAAAACACGCTGATTCTCAGACCATCCACAGGCCAGATTTAGAAGGCAATTGGGCCGGATCCGGCCCCCAGGCCTTAGTTTGTCTACCCATGGCCTAGAGGCTTCCCATGGCCTCAGGGAACTTGGAGCAGTACTTCCCCAGATCCAGAGGGCTTGTGCTGATTCCCTAGCAGCCAGCTGCACTCAGCTTGAGACAATTTGTTTGGGATCAAGTGTTGCTTGCTATCTAAATGGTTGCCTTCTCACATCCTCACTGTGAAGCTGCCCTGGGGAAAAATATATCTAGGGTTGCTTTTTTCTGCAATGCCTCCCATTTGCCCATTGGTGCCATATACCAGTGTTTCCCAACCGGTGTTCCGCGGCACACTAGTGTGCCGTGAGACACCGGCTGGTGTGCCGTGGGAGGGAGGCGGGCGAGTCGGGCGGCGAGAGGCGGGGCGGCGGCGGCGAGCACACGCGGGGCGGCGAGCGAGCGAGCTCCCACATCCCATCGCCGCTCGCTTCGGCCGGCCTACTGGAGGAAGGCGCGAAAACCCGGCGGGCTTTTGGGTGGGCGCCAAGCAAGAAAGGCGGGAAGGCTCTGGTCCCTCCCCTCCCGGCGGGGCTCCCGCACGCACCTTTCTGCGCCGCCGCGTCCCGCCTGAGCAGCAACAGGAGGAGGAGGAGGGAGGCCAGCGCCGGCCGGGTCCCCCGGGGGAGCGGGCGCTCCGGGCTGCTCACCATACCCCGCGTCTCGGGCGCAGCAGCCGGCAGTCCGAATGCATCCCGAGCCGCGCTGCTCTCGCCTTGCCTCCTTCTTCGCGCCTCCTCCCGGCTCGCGCGCCGTCCCTGCGCGGATCCGTCCAGCCTCCGGCCGCCGCCGCCGCCCCCTCCTCTTCCTCTCCTTCCCCCACCCACCAACCCGCACGGCGCGCTCCCACCGCCCCCGATGGGCGCAACCACTTCCGGGTCCGCTGCAGCCGCCCCTTCCCCGCCTCCGGCAGCCGAAAGTCCCCCAGCGGAGCCCGTCTGGCCGCTCCCCCCGCTCCCTGCCCACCTCCCGGTGTTGAGGCGCCCTCTTTCATTGCTTCGCGGGGAGGGAAAAAACTTTGACTTTTGTGCGTCCCTCCCGGCGTGACGCTGCGCGCTGACGTCACGGGGCGGGGCTTTAATGGTGGTGTGCCGCGAGATTTTTTTCCGGTAAACAGGTGTGCCGTTGCCCAAAAACGTTTGGGAAACACTGCCATATACTACTGAACCGGGAATGTGGAAAATCACCATCTGGAGGAGCTAGGAGATCAAATTTTTCCACAGCAGGAAGCTCTTAGTGCCTATTAAGTGCATCAAGATTTGCTGCTGTTTACAGCCAGGTTGTGCTAACAGACAATTAAGGTCAGAGAAAGAGGATATAATTTGGGTGAAAGGGGACAATAAGTAGCCTCTTCTTCTTGGGGGGTTACCAGCAATAACAGAGGCAACTGCACTTTATGAACATTTGTCCCTGTTTCATAGGAGCTTAGAGTAGTGGCCGAGTCTGGCTGAGATTTCTTATGTTCTGTATTACAGAGTACAGCAAAAATAGTGGAGCCACAGGGATGAAGTCAGAGAGCAGCACTGCAATTTTGAGCTTTGTGGAAGTGGGGGAAAGGAGACTGACTGCTTATTAAAATTTTAAAAAGCAAGGATGTAGGAGGATGAACGTGTTTGCAAGCCCATAATTACCCAATGCCATCATCTGCCAGGAAATGGCCCAATAAATGCACAACCTTCACTTCTCCAGTTGACACCTTGGCCTCTCTTCCATGGGTCTCAGCTCTCCTTTCCCACCTCATTCCCTGGGTCTTCTCATTTCCAAATACAGCTGCCTCTTTGTCCCACTTGTGTCCCTGTGTTGTTGTTGTTTCTCTCTCTCTCTGCTCTCCATCTCAGATTCCGAAGCTTTGGTTTTTCTTTCCCTGCAGCTTGTACGTAGCTCCAAATTCCTTTCCCCTTTGCTTTCTGGGAAACTGTGGTTTTACATTACCACCACACATAGACACCAGCTAAGAAAACCACTGCATTTTAAGTGCTGTCGTATGTGGACTGTTACTGCATAAGAGTTTCCTGTGATGCAGTGGGTGGTGAACGACACCTCTCTTCCCCACTCCCACCATGCCATTTTGAAAACTTTTTGCAACAATTCTTCTTTGTATTTATGGAAATTTCTTGGGTAAATTGAATCCCCCCCCCTGTTTTGGTTACTTTGCAGTTATAGAGATTGGTAAGCCCCTCTGAAGACTGATCAGAAACTGTTCCTCTTTTTTTTTATCCCATTCACCATAATAGGTACGAGACTATTGCTGGGGTTGGCGAGGTTCCAGAGATTAAAGGCCTGGCAGAACTGAAAACAAGACTTCAAGCTGTGAGTTATTCCCATGACCACCTGTTAATAGCAACTTAGACAGCTGAGAGTTCTGTGTGGCAACTTCTCTTGTATGCAAAAGGTCTGATCTAAGCCAGAGCTACTTGGGAAAAGAAGTAGCTGTGTAATGATTGATTAACACAAATGGGTTAAGGGAATAGAGCGGGTGGTCTTCTTTTTGATTGATGGTTTTACATATATACATGTTGTACATACATTCTTAGCATTGCTGTGAGAACTATGATAAAGTTTGATTGTATCTAATGACTTTATATAAGTATCTATCATAATATATGCCTAATGCATGTGTGTGAGCAAGAAATGGTGGTTTTGTGTGTGTGTGTGTGTGTGAGAGAGAGAGAGAGAGAGGGAGAGAGAGAGAGAGAGAGAGAGAGAGAGAGAAAGAAAGAAAGAAAGAAAGAAAGAAAGAGAAACGTAAGTTTTATAATATGTAAGTATAGATGCTCTGTGGTGAAACATTCTGGTCTTCCTTTTTGTCTTTTCTGGCTCAGGTTGAAGAAATTTCTAAATGTTTCCAGAGCATCTCTGATCACCAGTCGGTTGTGCAATGCATTCTGTCTGATGTGGGAAAGAAAAGGAGTCAAATAAAAGAAGTCAGAAGGTTGGTAGAATATTATTTTCAGTGTTAAAGGCTACAAGGCACTTACACAGGAGTAAGTCTAGGTGAGCACAGTAGTGGGGCTTAATTCTGAGTAGACATACATAAGCTTGAATTGCAAGACTTAAGAGTAATGATTGCTTAAATATCCATATCCTAAAAATCTAGAGGTTTTGGTGATATCAAACCATTTGTTATAAATATAGTACAGAGGTTGATTTCTTACAAGTGATTTCTTGAGCCTGGTCCACAAAAATATGTAAAATAATAGCAAATGAAAACAATAACACTCTCCCCATGGAGTGGAAAGACTCCATTTTATTTACCGCATTTTTCGCTCTATAGGACACACCCGACCATAGGACGCATCTTGTTTTAGAGGGGGGAAACAAGGGGGGGGGAATCTCCCCCTCTCTGCTCAGCGACCCTTCAGCGAAGCAGCAGGAGAAATGGAGCCCCTTCTATTTCTCCTCCCGCTTTGCTGAAGGGGCGCTGGGCAGCTCTCCCTCTCTGCTGAAGCCAGGAGAGTCTTGCTCTCCTGGCTTCAGGGAAAGGAACCCGAAGCCTTTGGAGCGCAGCGTGAGTTCCCGCTGCGCTCCAAAGGCTTCAGGCAGCTATCCCTGAAGCCTGGAGAGCGAGAGGGGTCGGTGTGCACTGAGCCCTCTTGGTCTCCAGGCTTCAGTGAAAGCAACACGAGCCAAGGAGCGCGGAGGGAGTGCTCCCTCTGCACTTCGGAGGCTTCGCGTTGCTATCGCTGAAGCCAAGGAGCCTGCATTCGCTCCAAGGGACGCACACACATTTCCCCTTCATTTTTGAAGGGGGAAAAGTGTGTCCTATAGAGCAAAAAATACGGTATTTAAAATATTTAAATGTCACTTTTCTACGAAAAAGGCATTCAAAGTAGTTAACAAAAAAGGAACACTAGAACAACAAACCTGATGTTCATTAGTTCGGTATCAATGTTTAAAAAGAAATAAACCCACCAATAAGCAGCAGATAAAAACAGTATCCCTTTTATAGTCTTTCTTACCTCATCTATGCCAGTCTAATCAGTTCAGGTGGTATTGCTTATACAGTGGTACCTCGCAAGACGAACGCCTCGCAAGACGGAAAACCCGCTAGACGAAAGGGTTTTCTGTTTTGGAGGCGCTTCGCAAGACGAATTTCCCTATGGGCTTGCTTCGCAAGACGACAACCCATAGGGAAATATCCGGGACAGCGGGGAAGCGCAGCGCGTCTTCCCCACTGTCCTCGGACCTCCTCCGAAGCCTGGCGGCGGGGCGGGAACACCTTCTGAAGGCGGGCGGGGGCGAAAGTCTTTGTTCCCCCCTGCCTGCCTTCCCGGGAGAGCGGAGAAACGCAGCGCATTTCTCCGCTGTCCCGGACGGCTTTTGAAGGCAGGCAGGGGGGAGCATAGACTTTCGCCCCCCGCCTGCCTTCAGAAGAGGTCCTGGACCTCTTCTGAAGGCAGGCGGGGGGCGAAAGTCTTTGCTCCCCCCTGCCTGCCTTCCCGGGAGAGCGGAGAAACACAGCGTGTTTCTCCGCTGTCCCGGACGGCTTTTGAAGGCAGGCGGGGGGAGCAAAGACTTTCGCCCCCCGCCCGCCTTCAGAAGAGGTCCTGGACCTCTTCTGAAGGCGGGCGGGGGGCGAAAGTCTTTGCTCCCCCCCTGCCTGCCTGTCCCGGAGGGCTTTTGAAGGCAGGCGGGGGGGGGGAGCAAAGACTTTCGCCCCCCCGCCCGCCTTCAGAAGAGGTCCAGGACCTCTTCTGAAGGCTGGCGGGGGGCAAAAGTCTTTGTCCCCCCTGCCTGCCTTCCCAGGGGCTTTTAAATCGCCCCGGACAGCGGAGAAGTCCTCCGCTGTCCCGGGGCGATTTTAAAATGCCGCCCGCCAGCATTTTAAGATCGCCCCGTACAGCGGAGAAGTCCTCCGCTGTCCCGGGGTTTTTTAAAATGCTGGGGGTGGGAAGAAAAGCCCTTGTCCCCCCCCCCAGCCTTCAGAAGAGGTCCGGGGACAGACTGTCCCCGGACCTGGTCTGAAGGCGGTTTCCCTAGGAACGCATTAATTGATTTTCAATGCATTCCTATGGGAAACCGTGCATCGCAAGACGAAAAACTCGCAAGAAGAAGAGACTTGCGGAACGAATTAATTTCGTCTTGCGAGGCACCACTGTACAGTAATAGGCTTTGGGTATTCACAAGGAACTAGTTTTCTTTGTGGACTGTCACCCCTCTAAGCTTCCTTACCAAGCCATATTATTAATGCTGGCCAGCAAATGGCTTTGTGACACTGACTATGATGAGCACACCATAAAAATAAGTCACAATGTAAACATAGCCTTGATTAAACTCCAGCCACTGGGGAAGCAAACAGCAGGTTTCCAAGTGCAATCTATTTTGCCTCTTCTGTCTGGAGAAGCTCAGCCATGCTCTGTCTTCGTTGATACCTTAAACATGTCTCAAGAGATCCTATGTTCAAGCTTCGGGTAATAATAGTCTTGAGACCAGGGCCAAAAACATCCCTCGGTCTGAATATGCATAATCCTCCAGCAGTAAATAGCACATTCTCAGTGAATGGAGCAGTGCCTGATACCCCGCCTCCTGGAAAAAGCAGCTACAATGAGAATGAGTTGTGGAATCATGTTGATGAGATGCGAGGGGCAGTACTGATATGCAACCCAGGGAAGGAATGATGCCCTAGGATGCTTCAGGCAGCAGTTTGAACCTGGCAGGAAAACCTTCACCAGCATGTAAGTTTAGAAATGAACACCTTCCTACACCTGTGAACAGGTGAGCTTGGCTAGTGGATAGCATGCAATCTCTGTACATAATTGAGACTGCCAAAAATGAGTTCTTTAAGTTGTGATGCAGCCATATAGGCAGCTAGAGAAGTATTATATGGCCTATCAGCTGAAGCATCATTTGGAGAGATATCATATGGATAGGGTGTGGTCAGGGAACAGGGCAATATAATAGAGGTAAAAAGTGAGAAGCCCTTGGTAGAAAACTATCTTGTGCTGGGGAGGAGGAGGAGGATGCCTGGCCATGACTTCAGACCTTCTGCTGAAGCTCTTCTTAAAGTGCCTTCCTCAGCTGAAGTGTGCTATGTTACAAAACAGAAGGCTTCTTTGGTGCTGGTACCCCAGTAATGGAACACACTTTGAATATTTTTAGTTGCTGCCACAATATTGTAAATGTTATGGTATTATTATTTTAGTTTTCTTTGTTATTGACCACCTTAGAAACTGTTGGATGAAGGGTGGCTTGCAAATATTTTAAGTGCATGCAGCCTGGTGAGTAATTGGGCTCACATTTCGAAGTCCTTTGCTATGCTGCTGCTGGAGAGAGGTGAGGCTTGTAATCAGGGAAACCTCCATGACAAGTGTCACAGGAAGGAAAGGAGCATCACTTGTTTTAGTGTCCGTTCTTGGATGTGTTCATTCCTCTCAGCTGACCGTCTCAGTACTTGTCTGCCATGCACAGCTTGTACTGATCTCATTCTTGCCTATGCAACAATTGTGTGTAATACTGGCTTATATGTGGGTGATGCATTTCATGTTGGTGCATAAGACACAGTTCATTATAGTTTCGTTTCTCACTTCCAACTTCGTGCCAAAATGCTGAGCAAGCAGAAGCTCCCATCCATATGCCTTAGTAGGAAAATAACTTTTCTTCATTTAATTTACATTTCTCACATTACATTATCTTAGCAATTTGGCTGGTGAAAGTGGTTAGTTCACATTCTCAATTAGTGCTAAGGCTTCCACTAGATGCATCATTCCAGCGTCTGGCACAGCACTCAGGGATTTGTACAAGAAGACCGGCATCAACATTGGCCACACTGAGACAGATTGAGTATACCAGGATGAATGTTGCTAAAACCAGCTGCAATGTTCTTGTCTGTCTGAGCTCTCTCTGTGCCTGAGCAAGTCTTTAAAACTGTCTGTGCTCCAGTTTCCCATCTGTAAAATAGGATTAGCAACTCACCTCTTTTCCTTGCAAAAATGGTGTGAAGACTTATGGAAAAGAATGTAATGGACCAGATGCTGTAGTAAAGAGGAATAAAGAAATGGGGGTGGGGAATAAATACTTCAGATAGTTAATAGAGTATAGTGGGCTTAGAGTATAGGCTTTGAGCCTTTGTTTTCTACATGATCAGAAGAGTCGTGTGGTGCAGAGCTATTGCATTTGGATGAACATTTTATATCTCAATTGACATTGTAATGATGCAGTTCAAGATTTTACTGTTAGGAGTCGCACCAGAAAGGCCAGTGCATCTTTCTCAGCATCCACAGCTGATTCTCCTGTTTGTGTCTTCTAGGGACAGACAGGTGTTGGTTCACTGACATCATTGAGGGCTTGCAAGAAAAATTATATGATTGTGCATCTGTTTCCAGATTTCTGGTGAAGGCTGTTCATACTAACGTTGCTTCTTGTGACGTAAGACTGTGCTTGGAACAGAGCTAACAACGAGAGTTAGTGCAGTAGCTGTCTTGGCTCCTACTCATTCCTTTCTGGACCAGGTCCACTGGGAGTTTTGTTACAGCAGACACAGCCCTTGGCCCATGATGGCATTGAACTGATTAGTTCCTTTCTTTCTATCTTACAACTGGCTTCCCAAACTGGTTCTTCAGCATCCAGCAGATGGAGGCTTGCCTTGACAAGATGCAGCTTATCTACAACCAGTTCAAGAAGACCCGGAAATGCAGGAGTGAGTTGCTAATGTTCTCTCTTATGTCTCTCTTATGTAATCATCAGCTTGCACAGATTTCATAAATCAGAGGTCTGTTAGCCACTACCAGGGCAGGTACGCCTTTAAAGGGTCTGATTAGGCAGATTCCTTGAAATACTCAAATAGCCCCAAGCAGGCTTCTTAGCAGCAGTATCTTGAAACAAACAAAAATGCCAGGTGGGCACTGCTGTACTTGGGGATTTGAGCCATCCATTCAGCAGCACCTGTACCGATAAGATAACAATTCTGAAAGCTGTGGCTAATCTCAAGGCTGCTCACCCCAGTCTGAAAAGTATGGGGCTTGTGGCTGCTTTGCCTGCAGGTGCTCATATCTGCTAAGTGCCTGTGTAGACGGTGTCAGAACAAAAGTTTATTGTCTCAAGTGCCAACAAAGTTTCTTCTGTCACAACAAAAGGGAAACGTGTAAGCCTTGTTTTATTTTTATTGTGTGTGTGTGTGTGTGTGTGTGTGTGTGTGTGTTTCATCCCTGGGGTCCTCACAAACTGAGAAAAATGAAGGAACGGCTTCTAGATTGCAGGCAGAGGCAGAGGCAGAGGTAGTGATGTGCTGGAAGCACCTAGAACAGGTGTGGAGGGCCTCCCTGTTTCCTATTGGGCTATCTCGCAATATACCGTATTTTTCCGTGTATAAAACGCCCCCATATATAAGACACCCCCTATTTTGGGGGACTCCAAATTAAGAAAACACCCCTCAGCACTACCCATGTATAAGACGTGCCCCAATTTTAAACCAATTTTTTGTTGTTAAAAAAACTAGTCTTATACATGGAAAAATATGGTACTTTATGTGAATAAAGTATTAATCTGTGAAACTGCAAAGTCCTGAAGTCATTCCCTGGAAAATCTACTAATAAGTTGCATTTTCTTTCTAGGCCTGGGCTACAATGAACAGCAGATCCACAAGCTGGATAAGTAAGTGTACGAGTTTGTGTATAACAGACCAACTGAGTATCGAACACTTCTGGTTTGTATTCTGTTGGTCTGCAGTTGGCCATTAAACTTTCCTGAGCTGCTCATGCTCAGATTGTCTGATTCAGGAATGAGTCATACTATATCAATCAATAAAGTTTCATTGAGGCACTTGAATAACAACCACCTCATAATAGCCTTGTGACTGTTGAGAACCAGCACCCTTCCTTGTAGTCGGAGGAATATCACATGTAAGGGGAAGACTAGCCATCAGCCGAGACAGGGAACTGGCTTTCCCTGCTTACAGGAGCACAGCAATATGCCTTATACCAAGTTAAAGTATTCATCCATCTAGCCTAGTGTTGCTCTAAAGTCTCAGACTGAGGTTTTTCACATCACTTATTACCTGATCTTTTCAACTGGAAATGAACTGAATTATCGAGTTTCTTTGTGGCTAATGATCTTGTTGCATTAGTGTGGGTATGGGTGGGTGTTTGCTTCTGGGTTGTTGTTTTTTAAATGCTTAAATTGTGAGAAAAATTGATGAAATAATGTACATTTTATTTTGTTTCATTTTCAGGGTGAATTTAGGACATTTAGCAAAAAAGGTTCTTTCAGTTTTCCAGGACAACTGTTTGCAGCAATACAAAGCTGCTCTTTTGGCACATGGAATTATAATGAGGTAACAGTGTTCCTAGCACATACTCTCACTGGCTGCCACTAAAGCAACAATGCTCATTTATTTTATTGCACCTGTATCTTACCTTTCCTAGAAGGTGCTCAGGGTGGCATACATGGTTCTCTCCCTCCTCATTTTATCTTTGCAACAACCCTAGGGTGCTAGGTTAGACTGTAAAATGGGGGCTGGCCCAAGGTGGGCTTCATGACTAAGGTGGGATTTGATTCCTTGTCTCCCAGGTCCTAGTCTAACAAAGGCCCCTATTCCAGGCTATTTCATTCCACACAGAGGCCTAATTTGCTATATTACCATCGTTGAATTGTACACACATAAAGTCAATTCATGCATGATAAACACAGACCTCCTAGAAGAGACAAAATGGGCTTCATTTGGAAGGTGAAAAGAGAAGGGAAGTTTAAGAGAGGAGCTGAAAGCTGCATTCTACACCACCGCTGCAGATATAAGTCCTGCCCCTTATTGACAGTTATGTCCTGTGCTGCTTCAAAACACATTTCTGTCAGGGAGGAGATTTTCCAACTGGGCTTGCTGCCAAGCTTCATAAGGAAGGCAGCAACAGAAAGCTGGGCAAAGGCTTAAATTCTTGAGTACTCCCCCAACAATAAATTTATTTATTTATTTATTATATTTCAAGTATTTATATATCACCTTTTAGAAAGGATCACAAGTGTTTTACAAACACACACACACACACACACACACACACCAGAATTAAAAATAGTACATAAAGCAATGAAATTTAATAATATGTTCTAGAAAACATCAGAATTCAAAAGTAGGATTGTACTCATTCAAGACACATCCCCTCACTCAATACCCCCAAAATTTCACATCTGCTAATACATCTGTATCTCAGACAACCTCATCTATTTGTGAGGTTCTCTGTTTGACTAGAGAGTGTTTATGGGATCTGCAAAATGCATCTTGTCCTAATTTGCTATACCATGGCAGCAAACATTTCCAGACAAAATGAAGACCTTTGAATCAAAGTGATGACATGGAGACAAAACAGGTGAAATCATGCTCATTGGCAATAATACAGTTGCATCCAGTGAAGTTGTCTTGTTGCCACAATGACTTCCACTTTTGCAACAGGATTTCCTCTCCCTCTCCTTTCCCTGTGCAATAAAGGGCTGGGGGAAATCCCCAAAACAGATTGGAGGTTATGGAGGTGTGCTGGGAAAGGAGAAAAAAAGCTCATCGCGCAGGAGAGAAAGTCCTTATGCTAGTGGGATGACTTTGTTGGATGCAGCCCATTGACTTTCTATGAAAGGGACATTGCTTCTTTTCAAGCTCTGTATCTAGCTTTGTGATTGGTTGTCAGAATGAGTTGTGTTCATTTTTCTCATTAGCGTCTAGTGCCTTTCTGAAATCTTGGAATTAACTAGGCATAAGAGTTTATTTTTCCCTTCATGATATAGTGCACAGCATGATAGTTGACATTATAAACAAAGACATGCTGTCGAGCTGACGTTAGTACTCATTTCACTGGACTACACATTGCAAATCTTCCCAAGCCTTTGGGTTGGAATATTGATGAACTTCTTTGTTTTCAGTATCAAGCAAGTTTCTCATACTGGAATGAAGCCATTATTAAGACAAAGAGCAGCACTTAGAAAGAATGATTTTATGTTAAAGGGTGTTTGGGGAATAATGCAAAGAGCAAATTGCCCAGTGGTGATGGAGAGTCATGCATTGACTTATTACATTGGAGAAAAGTGCAGTCACTTAAGGAAGTAACTGCAACCCCAACTGGGGGGTTTTAATTGCAAAATGCTTTTGAAACACAGCAGCTTTTTCAATCGGGTTTCAAATGGCCTGAAGGTTTCTGATGATACTAATCATAATTAGGGTTGCTTGAGGACTTCACTGGGACTGACTTCTGAAGTGTACTCATCTGATGATCCACATCTACCAGAATAAGTTGTGGGTTGGACTTGTAGTCCTTCAGTACCTGGACTCCATCAAATTCTACAAGGTGGTCTAAGGGCTGGCTATTTGTTTTTAACAGGTAGTAGCTGCTTGCAGTGACTCCAGAGTATATTACTGCTTCTGCACAGTGAAAATGAGACCAAAATGCCCCTGGAACTGTGGAAGTAACTTACTTCTAGAGCTCTAGGGAGATTTTTTGGACACGTTTTCGTGGTACAAGGCAGCAGTGCACTTTTTAGCTGCTCCAGATAACTAGAACATAATTTTTTTAAAGAAAATGAAATGCAAAGCCTTGAAACACATTGTAGGTACTTTTTTAAAAAAGGAATTAAATGTGTGTGGATTTTTGTTGTGAAAAAGAATCTATCCTTAGTCATGATTAGTCTTCCCTTGCTGTGACAAAAGCTGTCACACAGGTTGTCAAAACTGAGGGGTTCAGAATCAAATTAAGCAGCAATGACATTGGAAGGAGATTCAAGAATCAGTTCCACCTCTGAATCATGCGGAAGCAAAATATAATTGCATTATGATGATGAGTAGATACAATGACTAGATAGCTTTGTTGCATCCTAGTACATACCATGAGTGAAAGATTTGCATCCTGCTGCAGATTTAAGGTGGTTTGGGTTTTTTAAGAAGCCTGATAAGTATGAATATGATCTGCTTTAAGGCTTCCATCCTATATCCAATTACTTCAGATTAAGCCCCATTGAGTTAAATGATTTACTCCTGTGTAGACACATATAGGTTGATTTCAAAGGGAAGGAGTGAAACATGTACATACCTTTCTTGTTGAAATCAGTGGAACCTAGCTCATGCTCTGTTTTTAACTTTAAATCTATCCACTTCATTGAGTTAATAGCCAAATTACAGTTTATAGTTTTCACAGTGATAACACATCTCCCTGATATCTTTATAGGTTTTGGTTTCTAATGTTTTAACAGTTTATACCCATGGTATAGATTTGGCAGATATATGATCTTGCAGAAAAGTATAAATATTGTTAACTAATATGTGCACATCATATTGCAACATTTCATTTACTGTTCCTTGATATCCAGCAGTGCTGTGATCTTCAGGGGTTGTTATTTTTGTGTATATGTGTTTCTTTGTTTCTAATTGCCTTTTTTACTCTTGGTTTAACAAGTTCCCTATTAGCTCCTTTCTCAATCCCACCAAGGCACAGAGCAGAATGAAATAGAATTAATTCTATGTTTCCTTCATTTTGTGTATTTTACTATTTTTATTATGTTTTAATTTTTAATGCATTCTACTTTGAGGGGCTTCTGCCCAAAAGTGGTTTGTAACTTTCTAAAATAAAACCCACTTGCCTATTTATTTCACCTTTGTTGCTATGAAAAATGACCAATCAGTTGTGGCTGCTTTTATGTCCCCACTGTGGAAGGATGTGTAGATCCAGAATTGGCCTCCACAGTCACTCACTGTTAAGACCCTGTTCATGAAAGACAATCTTACTCGGCTAGGAGTGATTGTCAAAGAAGAAGCTTTGATGAGATGCCTGGCAGGGTGGGGGGGGGGGTCCTAAGTAGCTTCTCAGAGTATCATTTTTTTGGAACATCATTAATGCTGTATGACTTTGCTATTCAAATCCATGGGGAACTTTGTGGACCTGATGAATCTTTGTGGCTGAGCACTTCTTTCCATTTTAGAGAAACCTAAGCTCAAAGTGCCTCCTTAGAAGAGGGTAAGACCCCGAGGTGGCTATCACCGGTGGAGGCCAAGGCTCGAAAAAGACCCAACATGGAGGCCTACTGGCCGAAATATTGGGAAATAATTGAAAAAACTGGAGACAATTGGAGGTTGCAGAGCCAGGAGAAATTAAAAAACAAGGTGCGAGACTGGCTACATTATGCTCAAATTCAAGAGGTTTTTAAAATAGACAAAAAAGTTGGTTTCCAGGTGGAAAAATCGAAACTAGAGACGGAACTGTTAGAACCAAAAACTAAGATACTTTCGAGAATGTACAACTTGCTGCTTAAATGGAACACACAGGATGAGACAGTTAAATCCGCCATGATAAAGTGGGCACAGGACATTGGGCACAACATTATGTTTGAGGACTGGGAAAGGTTATGGAACACCGGAATGAAGTTTACGGCATGTAATGCCTTGAAGGAAAACATTATGAAAATGATATACCGGTGGTACATGACTCCAGTCAAGCTGGCTAAGATATATCACCTGTCTGATAACAAATGTTGGAAATGTAAGGAGGCTGAAGGGACATTCTTTCACCTCTGGTGGACCTGCCCAAAAGTGAAGGCCTTCTGGGAAGTGATTTACAACGAGTTAAAAAAGGTATTTAGATATACCTTTCCCAAGAAACCAGAGGCCTTCCTCCTGGGCATGGTGGACCAGAAGGTGTTAAAGAAGGATAGATCTTTGTTTATGTATGCTACTACAGCAGCAAGAATCCTCATCGCAATGTACTGGAAGACACAAGATTTACCCACGCTGGAGGAATGGCAGACGCAGTTGATGGACTACATGGAATTGGCTGAAATGACTGGCAGAATCCGAGATTTGGGAGAGGAAATAATGGAAGAGGACTGGAAAAAATTTAAGGACTATTTGCAAAAACATTATAAGCTGTATGAATGTTAAGAATGTGCACGATTAGGAAACTTTTGCTTCAGCAACTCGATTAGGCGAATTGAAAACTAAGTTATAAGAAAGAAGAGGTGAAAACACGAAATAACTTTATTATGTTTATTTTAAATGTATAAGAATTGGGATACAACACTGTGAATTTAGAAACATGATAATTGAAAGATACAGTAAGTTATGAAACAAGGTAACAAATTGCTGACGCTTTTATTGCAAAGAACGCAGGGTTTGGAGGATGTGGGGAAGTCCAGTTGGATTGTTAAAAACATTATGGAAAGTTGGATTGTTATATATTTCTTTTTTCTTTGTTCTTTTTCTTTTTTCTTTACTCTGTATATCTTTGACTGTAAGGAAAGAAACTTAATAAAAATATTTTTTTAAAAAAAAAACAAAGTGCCTCCTTAGAAGAAAAGAAATTAGCAACTATTTGACTACACTTGTTGTCTTATCCCTTCAGGAAGGTGTTTGACCTGAAGAAGAGTTTGAAGAAGCTGAACAGATCTTTAACCTCCTGCAGTGCAGAGATGTCTGGGTGCCAGGATTGCCTTGATAAAGTACAGTGGCGATTTTTTTCTTCTGTTCTTCAAACCATTTCAAAAACCAACAGCAACTTGAAATTAAATTTAACTATGTCTAGTTTATTATAGCTCTAATCCATGAGTTGTCCCCTGTGTGCGTGTGTGTGCTCAATCTGCTCTGGGGATTCCCAGAGTCTCTAGTTCAGATTTGGGAGCAATGCAGGGGGAGGAAGGGAGGGAAAGTTCTGTTGCACAAGCGGAAGTAATTCTGTGGTGGTTTGGTTAGATTCAACCCCTTATTTGTACCTCAGTTGCTTTAAGTGTCCCAGCTATCCAAATCCACAATGTGACCCCCATGTGTCACTCTGTCAGGGCCGGATTTAGGTTTGATGAGGCCCTAAGCTACTGGAGGTAATGGGGCCCTTTATATGTCCAGCTGTCTTTTGTCAACAACAAATTGTCACTGTTTTTTGTTCTGAATATATGCTATATGTCCATGCAGAATGTAGGCACCCTTTAAATAGAAATGAGCAAACTAATGATATTTTAGGGAGCAGGGGAGCAGGTGGGGCCCATTACTTACAACATAGGAGCCTAAAACACTGTTGCTGTATGTAGGTTTTATTTTATTTGCTTTTTATCTTATATTTTGGAAATGTACATCCAGTTTTGTTTCCTTTAAATTTTTGGGGGGCCCCCAAGAGAATGGGGCCCTAAGCTATAGTTCATTTAGCTTATACATAAATCCGGCACTGCACTCTGTCATAAAAGTTGGCTTTATTTTCACATTAGATTAGCTCCATTCTCTGAGGGGTGGAGTTGAAGGGTAAGAAAGTTGAAGGGCAGAAAAGCAAAACAAAATTGTCCAAGGATGGGCAGTACTTGGGATATAAGCTTGTTTGAATGCTTAGTCTGCCCCTCCACAGACCACTCCCCAAGACCCTGCCATTTCTTTTTGTCTTTTTCTTGATACCACCTTGTGCTGGAGGAATTTTTCAGCATCTTTTGGACTTCACCAGAGTTATTTCAGGCTGGCAGGAGTCCAGGACCAAAAGATTAATTCAGACAGGCAACTAACCAGCTGTTTATGTTGTGAAGGTCTCACATTGGGCAAGAGTTCCACCCAGTGATGTAATGAAATAATGGTTCACTGGAGAGTTGCCCTATCAAAAGCAATGGAGCCATAATTGCAGTTACTGCATACATAACATGGTTGCCTAAATCCAGCCTAATGGAGACAGTAATAGTAATAGGACTGACACTTTTTAAACACCACCTGTTGCAAATAGGATCCACTTTTAACTGGTATATGCAAAGAAACATTGTACATTTGTTTTTGTTCTGTTTTGCATTTTGCTTCCCCTGAAGATTTTCCATGGACAGTAGGACCTTTCATATATATTAATTGATTCTGGCATTTTGAAAGGCAATTCGCTTTTCATAATTTCATGTACCAAGTATAGATGAGAGCTTGGTATGCCTGTAGTGATCTGTGGTGTTTTTCATTTTCTTGACAGGCTTTGGATGAGTTGCCTCAGAGAATCCTCCAAGGCAAAACAACACATTCTGCACCTACACAAGTTTACATGAACCAGAAGCACCAAGACATGGTGTTTGGGTATGTGCACACAAATGTAACTGTCAAGGCATATGGAGTCTGGATGTTTTCTGGGTGTGCTTCTTTTTTGCACCATTGTAATAATTTATGATGAAAAGCAACTAGTGTGTGGCACATATTTAAAATATATCCCTCACCTCTCAGGCCAGTGTGTGTGTCATGTGATATATTATCACATTCAAAACGTGCTATGCCACCTTCCACCAGTAATTCCAGTGTGGTTTACAACAATAGAATATGACTCCAGTAAGAGCAACATAGTGAAATTCATCACAATCCAGAGACCAGCCCGATACCACCCAGGCATAGTATTAACAATCTGCAAATGCCTGGGTGAAGAAAATGTATTGTACAATGTTCTGGTGAGCATCTGCTTGGTCATGCATAATTAATAATTTTAAAAATGCATAATTAAATAAAAAAAGTTGAACTGTACTTTTTGTTGTGTGTATGTCTTGAACAGGATGCAAGAGCTTCAGGACCAGATGAAAATAGTAGCTCACAATCTCCAGCTCAACAATAGCATCATCCAGCGGTAAGAGGTTCTGAAATCTCTTTAGCAGCATATCAAGCTATGCCTAAGAGAAAGTACTAAGCGTGACAAGAAAGCATTGCTCTCCCAAGACTGAAAAATGTATGCATTCAAAAGGCGAGTTCTCTAATCCAAATTACCTTTTTATTTTCTTTCTCTAGGTTAAATGGTGTTGCACCAGGACTGTAGGGATGAGAGTAGGCTGCAGAGCCTGAAATTATAATGCGGGTAAATCCACATCGTTGAAGACTTATTGGGGAGAAAACTTCATTGTTAAGTCTTAAAGATGCCTATGCATTCTACCTCCCTGCTGTAGCACTTTGATGTGGATTTAAGAGAGTGGTCTGTCTAACCAGCATACCTCAATAGAGAACCAAATGTGTTTGATGTGTTTGTTACGTTTTGAGAGAGAGAAATATTTTTTCTCCTACCCAAATTTTATTGTTTGCTTACTCTTTTCAATCTTCAGTAATGGAACTGGAGGTTCTTTTCCTTGGTTCAGTGAGATCTGGCATTTTGAAGCTTGTCATGCACTTTTAACAGGCACTAGAGCCTCACTGAACCAAACCTGGCTAGCCAGTTGCCTTGAAATGTTCGTTGTTAAGTACTAGAAATACTTAACTTGGAAGCAAAGAAACTATACCTCACCGTACTGTTCCTTGGTTGACCTTTGTTCATTGATGAGCCCTTTCTGGTAGTCTAATGTAAAAAGGTCCTAGGTTTGAGGAACCAAAGCTGTGTCCCCCAGGCTTCAAGCAGTGACTCAGAAACTACAAAAAAGAGTCTGGAGAGTGGGCATTATCAACCTACAGTAGTGCTGTCTGCAAACAAGCCAGGTGTAGATGCCAGTACAGAGACCAAAGTAGGATGTGGCATGTGAGAAGCTGGAATCCCCCAGGAACTAATAAACTCTTCACTGAAGCCCTCACAGTTTCCTGCCTTTCTTGACAACTATGGCAATGAACCCATCTGGATGGTGGTAAGAGTTGAGACGTTAGACAGGGTTGTTTTAAGAGTTCCACTCACCAATGGAGACACACGGGCTCTGTTTGACTTGATGGAACATGATGGAGAAAGTTGTCCACTTTCGGAGAGCTGTCCTTGGTGCTACAGAGCTTGCTTGGTTTGGCCATGTCTCTCTTTCTCTCTCCTTGGCTTTTTGATTGTCTGTTGGAACCTGGCCTTCTGTAGGAAGACTTACCGGGGAGAAGTCTTGTGTAGAAAGTCTTGCTCCTTGCCTGTAACTGCCAGTCAGGTGAGACCCACACCCCATCCCATTGGTTTCCACTTGTCAGGGCTGCTTAGTCTGAGAAAACAGAACTAATTTATCTTCTTTTGATCTGTTGGTTAGAGTGGTTCAAGGGGCATAATACAGACTTGGTTGCTCACGGTGCACATACCATTTTTAATAACAAAAAAAAACTTACTTTGATGAGAAAATATTTGTAGAAGGTTTAGGATGTAGATTGTATTTTTGTTTTAAGCATATTGATAGTTTTTTCTTGGGATCTATGAGATATAAGGAGCTGTTGCATTGTTTAAGCGATGTGGTCACGTTTTTAAACATTTTAGGCATACACATAAAAAGTAATGTATGGTGTGTTCCTGTGTGTCCCAGTGCAATTGTATTGCATCTCCTGAGATGAACAACAGAGATGTTGCCCACTAAATAGAAAATGCCCGGGATATATTTCAGGCTCCCTTTTGGAAACAAGCCAAAATTGATTAGGATAAATGGATGAGAGAGGCAGGTGTCTTGTTGCTGCGTGTATGTTTAATTATAAATGTTTTGCTTTCACCCCAAAGCAGAGCAGGCAAGCAACACACTTCCAGGTTTCTGGTTTGATTTATCTTAAGCTTCCAGGCCTGGTGTGTGTATTAACTTTTTCATCCCAAAAGGCTGTGAGCTAAGTAAAGAGTCTTCTGCTTTCCTTTGATTAAAACAGCAACAACGAAACAGCTGAGCAGATAAGTTAATGTCAGCACAGAGAAGCTAAGGCTGAAGTAGAATTGTTTGGTTGTGATCCAGGAGATTCCCCCTTAGAGATGGACAACAAGGGCTGGTGCCCTTCCTCCCCTGCACTCCCAGCAGCAGCTGCTCCTCAACCTGCCTCAGAAGCTGCTTTTGATGTACAGTCACATCTAGTTCAGCATTTTCTACCCTGACTGGCACTGGATCCCCAGGTTTTCAGACAGTCCCACCTGGAGATGCAGGGGACTGAACCTCAAAATTTGCTCATGCAAAGCACATGCTCTGCCACTGAGCTGTGGCCCTCCCCCTCAGTTTCTGGCTCTATTAAACCACACATACTGAACCACATGGGAGCTGCTGCTCTATTATTCTCCCCTGCAGAGATGCAGTATATAGGTCACCTGCATATTCCTGCACTGCAGGTCGTCAGACTAGATGACCCTCAGAGTCCCTGCTTACTCTACAGTTCTATGAAATACTGCAGCCACATGGGCAGAGCCAAACACCCGGTCCCCTCCCATCCAGTGAAAGGGGACTCAGATATGGTATACGGCACCATACCGTTAGGGGAGTGAGGGCAGCAGGAAGGCTTGTGCTATGCAGCCCTGTGGATCACGTTAGCAATTTTGCCCTTGCAAATTAAAGATGGAAACTGGTGGGTTTCGTAGACCAGTTGAAATGAATGAACCCGAGTTAGTCATGCCCCTTGACTTCAGCGGCTCTGCTCTGAATAGGACTAGCATTGGCCACAACACAATATATCTGTGTAAGTTGAATATTTGAAGTTGACCTTTTAAAGAAAGGGGGAAAACCCCAGTGCGGTCTAATGGATGTGTAAGCCATTCAAGAATGATAATGAAGAAGACAGATTTTATTTATGCTGCAGCAAAGTGGTATGCAGGAGTGGTGAACCTTTTGGGAAAGCCATATTCCTAAGCACCAAGCTTCTTGTTGCAGGACTAATTGCAGCTTGGTTTCCTGATTATTCCTCCCTTTAAAAAAACAAACAAACCCAGAATAAGCTACCTGAAGATGGGTGGGTTGGGTGTGGGAAGATGGGTGGCAGGGTGAAGTGTTAAGCATTTCATTCCTCCCCCCCAACCCCCCCCCTCTTCCATTCAGTGCTTCCTGAAATCAGCTTTTCCTCTTTAAAAGGACAGTGGAGTACCTTGGCGTGCATTTGAGAATGACATCTTTTGGCCTGATACTCTCTGTTTTCTCAGAGGTGTGCTGTGGGGGTAAGTGAAATTGAGATGATGGGAGCCAAGCCCGAGTATTTAGTAGCTGATGGGTATTGCTGAAAACAGCATTTTAGCTCAGTGGTGAGGCATGTTGGCTGCAAGGATTTGTCGTGCTCTGCACCTTTTTACCATTTTTTAACCTTGGGCTTTACAAGCCCCCGGGTAATCCTCAGAGGCTGCCTGCTGACTCAGCTGTGTGCCAGCAGCCGCAATGTGTCAAGCAGTGATATAGGAAGCCCAGGGGTCTCTGGGGAGCAAAGCATTAAGATGATATCAGGAAGCTATTTGCCATTGGAGAAGCAGATGCAGTATCCCTGCCTTGCACCCTATCCAGCCTGCTTAGTAAGTGATTTATGGGCCCAAACCCCAATGGACGGGAGCAGACATAATGCAAGGTCTCCACGCTGCAGATGGAGCAAACCATTTCAATGATAAATGCAGCGTGCAGAAAAATTGAACGGCTGCGCCGAACATGACAACACCTCCTCCCCTTTCTGAAAGCAAATATTTTAGAATTGGGGAAGTGGATGGTTTAGAAAGGAAAGGCATTCCCTTGGCTGCCCTTTCTCCCACCCCTTAGAGATAAATCACTGTCCATGGGCTGTTAATTTCCCTTCTGTGCTAATAATGCTACCTCTGCCGAGTGACAATGAATCTTCAGAGCAGGCACCTGCTACCAGGCGGTAACCCTGGTGACCGGCCTAGTCGACAGACTTGAACTATGAAGCCAACACAGAGATGGTTAAAATGAAGGGATGGTCACTTCAAAGTATGGGAACAACAGCATATTATTTGAATATTTGTAGCTGGAGAAGCTGGGGGGCGGTAGCGCTGTTTCCCTGCAATGTGGTCTCGTCCTATTGGGAAGGGTATGTGAATGAAACCACCATGTGAAGTGGGGTTAAATGTGTGGGTCTTTCTTACCCAACTGGCATCCCAGGGGAACCAATCTTCTGGAAAGATCTACCCATATAGCTGGCCCCCACCCACATGGCTGTGCCATTCAGTATCTCTTGCACACACACCAGCACCATTGAGATTATTCTCGTCCGGAAGTGGCTCCATGGTTGCTTCCAGACAACCTGCTTGTTGAATATTCAGTCTGATTTGTTTGTGGAGAATGGTATGCAATGTTACATCAAGCAATTGTTATCCCACATTTTCCTGTCACCTTCTTTACTGCCCAAACTCTGTGTGTTTGTTTGGAAGTAGGTTTTGCTATGCAAGAGCATCAGACCCATTCTAATTATGTACCGGTAACCTGAATTTGCCACTATGCGCTTGAATCCCACCTGCGAAATAGTGACAGACTGAAGACACCCCATGCTTGAAGACCTCAGATTAAAGCACCTTGTGACGTGGCTTAGGTTTAAAAAGAAAGAAGAAGAAGAAAGCCTTGACCACTGTTCTTCCCCACTGCCCCCATTGTTTTAATAACACAATAATGTAGCCTATCCCAAGACTTTTAAATAGCACACCTCATAATACATATTCTTGGCATGAAATGCTGACTCCACCACATCTCTGAGCAACCAAAACTTCTCACTCTGAGACAACCTGACAGGGCCCCTCTATCAACATGATCTAAAGAGACTTCACGTTCCCTCCCTGAATTCAGACTCAGAAGCAATGACTGAGTCTGTCTTTCACTTTCTGATGCTGCAGCTGGGCTCACATTAAATAGAAATCCTTAGTGTTGAGCTGAACTTCGTAGATTTGCTTGGTTACTTGCTCACTCTGGTTCATTACCCCTACCCAGCAAGGGGCAAACTGCATTTGGAAGAAAGGATCTGCTTACAGATTTCCCAGCCACAAGGACCTGTTTCAAAAGCTTGAGGGGAAACCCCCAGCAGTCAGCCTCTGGGATTTCATGTGTGGTGTTTCTCACCTCAGCCCAGTCATTCCCATCACCACTTGAAAACGAGGGATCAAGGCTGACGGGACTGATCTCTGAAAGGGTGGTTCTTCACTGAGCAGAGTTGCCCTTCATTTTCTTACTATTGCTTTGGCTAGCTCTAATAAATGAATTGTTGTTGAAGGCAATGTGCGAGGGTGGTAGCCTAAGAAGCTAATGCTTGCACTCCTGACAAAGCAGCTGTTGACCACAAGCCAGTATCTACAATAGAAGCCCACTTCTGTGTCATGTTTGTCCTATGATTCTAGGTTGGGGTTTTTGTTTTTGTTTTGTTTTTTTACTTAAATGTTATGCTGGTGCCTGTGGGCACTCTTGTCGCAATGGAACTGCCCTATTAAAGTAGCTTCATTTGTTCTTGTACTATTGCTCCATGGAAATTAAATGGAGATGGCCAAGCTACACTGCTTTGTTGGTTCCGTCCTAAGTGGAATAATATGTTTACATCAGCAAATACTTTGATGTGGAATCTCTCTTGGCCTCCCAGGAAGAGCTTTCTAAAGCACTACACCACTGTCAAAGCTAAACTGCCTTAAAGTAGCAATTGCACATTAAACATTCCTTTAATGTGCAGAAAATAGAACTCTTTTTGTCAGGTACATTTGACTTGTTCTTAATGTTTACTCTTTCATAAGAAGTATTTTCCCTTCTGACTCAGATAAACGTTGGAATGTCTGTACACGAAACTTATAAACTCCTGTGCTTTATTATTATTATTGTTATTCTTTTATAACTGATTATCTCACAAGCTTCTTTATAATTTTTCAATATCTGATTACTGTGCTGTGTGGCTCTGCTGAGTTTGCTGGAGTACATTAACCAGAGTTTCCAACCAGTCTTTCTTGGCATGTACACAAATATGCTGACACATGGAAATGCAACCATTTCCCACTGAACAAAACATACTTTCTGCACAGAATAAAACCAAATGACTGATCCAGAAATAAATATGAGTAGGGCTTAGGTCTTTAGCAATTATATGTTGAAAAGATAGATACGTGAGGGAGGTTAGGTAAGTTCCTAGATGAAAGAAGGGAGGCAACGCAGAGCATGTGTTTTCTGATGTGCTTGAGAAAGGAGACATGCTAAAGATCCATAGATACCTGTGTTGTGTTGATACCTGAAAATTTATTAGATGAAAAAAAAATGTTACGCAGGCATCTCGAAAAATTTCAGAGTGGAAATGGAACTACAAGTAGCTGATGAGTATTTGCTAAGGAACAGGTCTTATTTTTTCTTCTATAATAAGGTGCCCAGTTTAGTGGAGAAAACAAGTACCGTAATTGACAATATTCTTTTCATAAGCTTGAGACTGGTGGACCTCTGAAGTATTGCATCCCTTTTTGCACACATTTTAGCAAAAGACAATATCCATGTGAGAACAGCAAAAGCGAAAAGACTATAGCGGGTACTGCAGTATTTGGCATAAGGCAAAACAGCCTCATTATGACAACAACAACAACAGGACTCATTGTGTACAAGTGAAAGGGAACTATTAATGAGCCCTGAGATGAATCATTTCAGCTAGCCAGGTAATGCTCAGTGGAAATCTGGACTTCCACACTTTATGCAACGTTTCTTGAAAGAATTGGGATGGGAAGATTTATTTTTCAATCCAGCCAAGACTGCTTTTAATAATAGTTATCCGATGCAAATGTATTAATATTTTTAGTCTGCAGTCGAAACCCCCTTTGTGTCAGGCTGGAGGCAAGGAAGAGTTTGAACAGAGGTGTCCCTCCACCCAGCCTTGGTGACATCTGCTTACAGAGTAATGCCAATAACACTCCACCAGTGTGGGTGGAAATGCTGCCAGCAGGATCCCTGCCTGTGGCAGTTCATGGAAATCCTGAAATAGAAGAGGAGTTTGGATTTGATATCCCGCTTTATCACTACACGAAGGAGTCTCAAAGCGGCTAACAATCTCCTTTCCCTTCCTCCCCCACAACAAACACTCTGTGAGGTGAGTGAGGCTGAGAGACTTCAAACAAGTGTGACTAGCCCAAGGTCACCCAGCAGCTGCATGTGGAGGAGCGGAGACGCGAACCCGGTTCACCAGATTATGAGTCTACCGCTCTTAACCACTGCACCACACTGGGCTGTTCTGGGGATTGAGGGGGGGGCTTAGCATCCCTGGATCCTAAGCCAGCCCTGTTGACATCATCTGATGACATAGAACCCATCACTATGCCAGCTCAGAGCTGGTGCAGTAGTTTGTCTGGCTGACCACCCTGGCTGGGATGAAAAGCAGGGCTATATATACAGCAGTGTCCCTGCTGCTTCATTAAGCCCTGCCACTCCCCAGCTTGGATGGCCACCTAAATTTCCTGACATCCCATTAATGTTTTTATTTTGATGGCTGTTTCTTGTGGTTAAAAGTTTTTTAATTTTAATATTTTGGCCTTACTAGGGATTGTTACATATTTTAACATCGTCGTGGGAATGGCTGCCTTGACTTTGTTCAGCTTTTGAAACAAAATGAACACATTGTAATGCTCACTACATTTGTTACAAATTACAGAGCCGGGGTGTGTGTGTGTGTGTGTGTGTGTGTGTGTGTGTGTGTGTGTGTCATGGTGGTTGTCCCATTGGACAAGGACTACTAGGGAGACACAGCTTCAAATCTCCACTCAGTTGTGAAGCCAACTTGGGCCAGCCACTATCTCTCAGCCTAACTTCACCTCACAGGTAGGATTAATCCTGAATGAGGATTTTAAAAAGAGGAGGAGGAGGAGGAGGAAGAGGAACCATGCATGCAGCCTTTAACTTGGAAGGAAGAGAGGGTATAATGAAATAAATGAACACTACACCTCTGTCCACAACCATGTTATGGAAAACCCCTAAATTGGTGGGCGATGGGACCTCAGACTTAGGAGCTGAATACAGGTCTCTCCCCAGACTGCCCACCTCAAATACTTTTGCCCTTGGAGTATGATAATGCCTCTTGCTTGAGGAGTGCTGTGTCTGTAGAAAATTCTGGCTTTTGAATGGCTGGAATGTAGCCTATTGTGGTACAGGAACAGCCACTACTCCACCCACTTTTGTCTCAGCACCACCCAACATTGTCATGTGACCCGTGAAATGTTTACCATAAAGTCTTCAGACTGAAAGAGGTTCACCACCCCAGACCTAGAGCTTTATTATTTCAACAAAATCTATTAAATTGTGATTTCCTTCCTCTTTGAAAGCACCACCATGGTGTTTTTTACATAACGGCTGTGTTTTAGTATGTTTTTCTTTCTGTGCTAGTATCAGCGAGTTTCTTTAGTGTGCCTTGCTATCTGCAAAGATCCCTGGACTTAAAAGTTCAAGGCTTTAAACTCTGTATGAACTAGTCTCAAGAGAGGGCCAGTGTGATTGTATTGCACAAGACAGTTCCTCATAGTGCAGCATCTCTTAGAAAAGCCTGATCTCTGGAAAAGTTCCCAATTTAGACTTCTCAAATCCACATCCACCAGTGTGTGACTCTATGCTTTCAAGTACTGGAAAGGAACTTCTAGAGAGGGAACTTCCTCTGGGTTGAACAGTGAGTTACGGTAAGTGAATTAGCAGGGAGCGGACAGTTGGGGAAATTCCTTAACTCTCATTTGAAATAGTAAAAGAAATTGAAAATAAAACTACTTTTCCTACCCATTTTCCCAGTTAAACCCAAATTTCACAGTGAAAATAATCAGCTGGCACTTAGGCCTGTAACAGGCAGAACATCACAAGAGACTCAAAACTGCAAGAATTGGATTTGGATACAATTGGGTGATTTCCCCCCACCCTTGGCTGAGAGTTCAGGTCAGTTTAGCAGCCTCTTAGAGCTCTGACCCCTTGGGAATGTTGTGATATTCATGAGGAGGATTACATTTAGATGTTTGCTTCAGTTAGGGCTTGGAAATCCGAAACTTTCTCTGGGCTCAGGTCTCACAATTATAGTGACGACAGTGGAATCTGCAACAAAATGTTGCAGTGTGGAGGCGTGCCCCTGCTCAGAATTCCAGCTACTCCATTCCATTCCTCCTGTCATCTGCTTTTATCTCCCCACCTCCAATTCCATGGCCATTGCACATACCTAGTCCTCATTGGGTATTTTTAGAGTTTTCCTTCCTTAGGAAGATTTTTTTTGTCTCCCACCCCCCACCTCAGCCCACCCCGATGCCTGCTGATACCTCCTCTTCTGGGTGAGTGGTGCTATTTTGGCTACATAAGTAACTGCACTCTTAACCTGAACAGCAGAAATACAGGGAAACGTATTTGATATTGCAATCAGAGTATCACCCTTCAACTCTACCACCCACCACCACCCCCAGACATTCCAGGAGTAAAGGCTGTTCTGCACTTCTGACCCAGGATGCAGTATACAACAGGGGTCAGCAAACTTTTTTCAGCAGGGGGCTGGTCCACTGTCCCTCAGACTATATTTTGAAGGGGGGAAAGAACAAATTCCTATGCCCCACAAATAACCCAGAGATGCATTTTAAATAAAAGCACACATTCTACAGTGGTACCTCAGGTTACATACGCTTCAGGTTACAGACTCCGCTAACCCAGAAATAGTACCTCGGGTTAAGAACTTTGCTTCAGGATGAGAACAGAAATCGTGCTCCGGCGGCAGTGGGAGGCCCCATTAGCTAAAGTGGTGCTTCAGGTTAAGAACAGTTTAAGGTTAAGTACAGACCTCCGGAACGAATTAAGTACTTAACCCGAGGTACCACTGTACTTATGTAAAAACATGTTGATTCCTGGACCATCCGTGGGCCAGATTTAGAAGGCGATTGGGCCGGATCCGGCCCCCGGGCCTTAGTTTGCCTACCCATGGTGTACAACATCTTCCTGAAGGAAGAGTAGTCCTTCTGAATTTATGTTGCTTTGGGGAGGAAATAATGGCTGGATATGAATGACAGAAGCTCATCTCTCTTAAAGTTAGGCTGCAAATCCTATTGTAAGAGACTGAAACACAAGTTAGAGCCTAGTGGCTACTAGTACTATATACTGATAAATGCAAATTACTATGTCTTGGATACAATATATTCAATAAGTTCTATCACATTAGCCAGTTACAAACATCCCTTTCATAGAATGATGCCCAATGTTAGCCATATTCAGAGTAGCTCCATTGGCATCAATGCATTTAAGTAACTTACATTCATTTATTATTAAGTAACACAGGTTCAGTTATCTACTCTTGAGTAAGACTAACATTGGCTAACCCATAATCTTTTCTGACCTTCATTTAGGAACAGTGAGTTTATGGTTAGGGATAAAATATGACTCTTCCTTGATCCAAAGTCAACAAATTGCTACTCTCCCAATGGTGGCCCACAAGCATATTGTCAGATACTAACTTAGACATCTGTACATGGGTGCTAACAGGCCACACTTCCTCTGTTTTCCAGAGCAGCCATATAAATCAGATTTTCTTCCTCGGCTGTCAGAGCTAATAATCTGCTCTCAGCTGTGGTCTTCCCCCTATAGAATTGAGATCTAAAGGGCAAATTGCTAATTAAAGACAGATTGTATTGAATTTGTGACTCAGTGTGAAATGGCAAACATTCTTTCAAATGTGCCTGATGGATTAACTATTTTAAAGATATTCATGCCTTGCAGGGGGAAATATCCATCTGATTTGTCTTATGCTCCCTCTTAGATGAACATTTACTGTGTTAAGACTCCAAAATTTGTCCTTGTCTTGGGTCATTCATTCCCTTGAGACCAGTTACCTGTAATA